ACTTGAAGGTGGAATGCAAAACCTTTGCAGCACCTTCAGGACCTGTGTTAAGGCTCAGGCAAAGACATGCAAGAGGCAACAACACCCTTTAGAGGGCCAGAAGAATCAGCTTCCTCATATTTGGATAAAATCAAGGTGAAAAGTCTCACTACAAGTCCAGTTTCACACTTCCATTACTTTCTAAAGGTCATGCACTGCTGGAATATGTAAGGCTGTAGTTCTCCACCCATTTATGTGGGGAGGCAGACCTGCATACCATGATCGATGTTGTGTACTGCCTAAACAATGTACTTAAAGACTGAATTTTGCAAAGATTAATCCATCCCAGGCTTTTACAGACTATCCTAGTGGTCTCCCTGTCAGAGGGAGCAGAATGGACTTGTGCTTCAGATACAGATTTCAAACACAGGCACTTGTCTTACCCTCCCACAGGCTTGCCTTATGATCTTAGGTAACCCTGATTGCCTTTCTTCATAATATCAATAAGGTGATGTTTCCACAAGGCAGAGCTGTTGCCAAGAAAACTTGGTGATGCTTTCAAGTGTTTGATCAGAACATTGACCAGAAAAAATAATTTTTATAATTTTTACATATTTATATCACTTGAAATTTGGAATTCAGATTCCTGGCTATCAAGGCTGACTCTCATTATCAGAGTTATTCAGGACTTTTAGCTCTCAGCAATTCTGTCTATAACACTGATCTATAACTACTCTGGATCATTGCAAAACCAGCACTGGCTCCCAGCAGGTCTGACCAGCTTCTGAGATGATGAAAATAAGCCCTTCTAGAGGGCTATGGTCCTCTAGAAGGCAAGTACTGAGCTTGTAGGAGCTATATCCTTATCTTTAGCCTATTTCATGTGATCTGGAGATAACCTAAAACAAGCACCTGAAAACCAAAAATGGTGCTTTAAGCCAGCAGAAAGTGAAAGCTGAGTAATTATATTTTTTAAAATTTCTAAATTTATTTTTTTTTTTTTACACAGAAGCATTTCTAGGTACAAGAGCTTCAGATAACAAGAAATATTAGACACCCTGCTGAAAATCAAAATCTAAATGCCCAGAGTCTGGGCACTTAGAAGCAAGGCATCCTCTGATGAAGGATTTCTAAGTGAAAATTTTCAATTAGGTGCCTAAACAGTTGAAGTTCCCTACTGAACAGAATTCTCAGTGTTTCAGATGTAATTCATAGTTTCTTGTACATGAGCTACTAATTTGGGAAGACGTAGTTTTTCCCAAACATAAAGAGAGACTGACTCACCATCCTCTCTGGCAATCAGAAAGATCTGTGATATATGTGACAATTATAATTCATAAAGTGTGCCTGAATCATTATATGCAGCTATCTTTGTCCAGTTTCACATTTTGCTTCCTTTCCCATTAGGACTTATTTCTTAAAGCAGTGGAAAATGCCATAACCAACACATTTTCAATAATTTATTTAATTTTTTTTCAAGATATAATGTGCTTAGGTTTGAACAAATCCAGGTAGGTAAGTGCTAAACTTCAGAACAAAGAAGAATATTATTTCACCCTTCCCTTCCAGGAAACAGAGCAGTAAAATTTGTCGTCTCATACAGGGCCCAATTCTGAGTAGTAATGAGTATTGGATGCAGGTGATAATGAGTACATTTAAAAATGACAGATTATTCTCAGTTGTTACTTGCTCACCCCAGTAAAAAAAATTCACTTACTTGCAGTTTTACCAGACAACGTGACTTTTTTTTTTTTTTTTTTCCCTCCTTGGGCTTCTTATGGGGCTGATTTCAGAAGAATATATGGCTATGTATATACAGGGGAACTACTCTGCTTACTTTCCAAGGACCATTTACTAATCTTGAATTTAGCTAACCAAGCAGTGCAGCAGGGAGTTTATAAAGATTCCCATAATTCTGCCTAGCACACGATCCAAGCACAGAGCTCTTACTGTACCAGTAGAATTTGTGACTAAAGAGGAAATATACTTGCTGAGCTGCTAGTAGGATATGGATTATGTTAATTGCAGATGAATTTTATACATGGATTTTATTTCAAATTGTGGACATTGTCTCTTCTTATTTCGACAATGTGTGAACAGTCAGATGTGAAACTAGCTGTATAAGGTGTCCTAGTTTTTCACAAAGGGAATATAATATTGATGAAAACCACAGAATAGTTTGGTCATGTTATGACATATTTTTCTTATTATTGCTATATTTCAAGGGGGTGAAACGTGATTTCCAAAGCGAGGATATTATCCTCTTTCCTTTAAGCTAACTTCGGGTCACCCAAGAGTGGTAAGGAATTTTGAAAATATTTTGTCGATTTTACTGATAAAATTCCCAACTGACTATCTAATTTAGGGCTGCATTGAAGTGTGGATAAAAGTAGTCTAAACTGTTCATAGAATTATTGTTCTTAATGGCACTAATTGATAGCAGAAGAGCATAAGTTATGAATTAAAGGAGTGCATTTCTACTAAGAGACAACAGAGAAGTATATTTTTCAGGGTTTTAATTTGTTCACTTATTTATTTAAGTCTTGTTTTGCACAAAAATTTGTTGTAAGAGTTAAGTGAGGCTCTGACAGAAAATCTGGAATTGTCCAGTTTTATGGGTTTTTTTCCTATCCCTTAATATGTTCGGAAGAATTTCCACATTAAAGATGTTTCTTTTTCCTTCAGTGGGACTATTAATGTGTGAAAATTTTAGCTGGGTCCAAGTATTCTGTGTGCTGACAAAATGTTAGAAAATCAAGTCTCATGAGTGGTCAGACAGTGCACAAAAGTAACTCTAGAAATCATAGAAACAATACTGACTTATAGAAGGCTGTGCTAAAGAGTGTAGGGTTTCCACCTCTAAGGGATCAGAACATAAACAATAAAATGGAGAAGTGATTTTCAACCTTTTTGCATTTTGAGACAATCTAAAAAAATTTTTAGTGGAAAGGAATACCCTTGCAATACACTTAAACTTGCATATGATAAAGTAGCTTTTTCAGAAACCACTGACAGGAAGCCCAAGAATGGCCAAGGGATCACAGGCTATAAGCAAGAAATCACTGAAATTAATAATACCAAATTATCTACCCTGTTCTAGCTTTTTTTCATAGGTTTGACATATTGTCTTGAATCTGCCTTATTAATTATCTGGACTTATATTACTATGCCACTTACATACCTAGAATTCCAAAAAAATCACAGAAAAGTAAGATTTTGGAATTTCATTACATTTCATCGAGGAGAAATTATATTTTATGAAGACAATAAAATGAAAAAACAATTTTTCCATTCATATATAATGTGTCAGTAATTTATAACCAATTTATCAATGACCATGCAGCTGCATTCACTGTAATTTAAAAAAAAAAAAGCTCATATAATGCTCACATAGTCTCTGAAAGCATAGCATCTTAATAAAGGAAGAGGAAGCCACCAGAGTAATTAGAAAGGTATATTGTAGTGCATATAATGGCAGAAGGATGTTTGTATTATAGTCCAACACATCATTAAGGATACAATTGTTATTTAATGTGGCACAATCATCTTTCTACTCTTCATGAAATCCACTTAAGTAATTACTTTTCTTAGCTCATTGGCTGTATGAACTGACAGTTTAGCAAAGTGCTATGTCTAAAGAAATTCTGAATCTCCATTTTTATATTACCCTGTCTTTTTAGCTTGGCTGTTACTGCTTATTTGGAGTGTTGCTGCTTACCTGAAATGGCCATTTTCTCACTTGAAAAACTGATGAGGAGAGTGGGAAGGAAGGATAAAAACTGGGATGGGGAGGAGAGAAAGGAAAGAAATACCAAAAGCTTACAGGGTTGTCTTAAAATATGCAAATATTCAATGAAAAGCCTCACTTCCTTTTTCTCTACAGTGTACCCCTTTCCCCAGTATTATCTTCTAAACATATATACATAAATATATGTCATATTAATTGCTTGTCCAATGTTAAATCATTTTTAGTTCAGTTAGCAGCAGAACAGTAGCTCAGTAGTGCAGAACCTTGAGTTGCTACTAAGTTGTTTTTAGGAGGGAAAGTTTTGCAAAGCACAGTTTTCAAGATTTAGGAGACTACCGTCTTATGAAAGTTAGTGAAGAAGGTTAAATAACATTATTATACCTTATAATCTTTTTGCATTTATTAATGCAATATTATATGGAAGCAAACATCATTTGTGTACCCAGAGCTCATTCGTTTTTTTTTTTTTTCCTATCATGCATATTTTAATATAAAGTTCAATTCTGCAGAGCAAGCCCAACATTTAGCAGACACAGCACTGAAGTGCAACATTTAAATTGCCTAACAGAACAGTTTCCATTCTTTTTTTTTTCATTTTAAACTTTAAGCTCTCTTTCAAAGGAAGTTGTTGTCTTCGTGTTTGCTAGCATTACAAGAAGGTAAGTCTGAAATACCTTTATCTTATTTGGTAGATCTATGTTTGATGCTCTTTGTTTGAATAGAAGTGTCAGCTGTATTTTACCTTATTATATAAAAAAGTTTCAGAATTTAATTAAGGGTCAAGTACCCGCTGTAGATAAATGCAACAGCTAGAGCATATTTCTGATCTCTCTGAAGACTGCAATCATGAAAATTATTATCATTGAGTAAAACTGGTCTCAATGATGGTGACTGGGAGATGGAATCTGTGTTAGTCAGCCATAATTTACATAATAATGGGTTCTGAGTTTTCATCAGCACCTTTTGTTTTTACAGTGCTTACTGCTACAGTAAATTGTCAAAATGTCATTCCTATCCAATCAGCCAGAAAATATCAACAGTAAACAAGGCACAAGAAAAAATTCTCTGATTTAAAGTATGGTGGAGGAAATAGTAAAACAGGACACTGGAATAGTTGTAGCAGTCTTATTCTGCTATTTTCAACAACACTGCTGAACTACTTATGAAAAATTACTTTTTAATGAAGCAATGCCACAGAGGGGAGTGATGTCATTAAAAGAATCTCAGCAAACAGTTAGATAACTGGTTTGTTTACATTTATGCTTGACATTACCTGTTTGTTTCCTCTTCCATGGGGCGATACATTTCACTCCTCCAGTCAGAATAGGATCAGCTGGAAAATTACTACAGTCTGGGTAGCCTCAGATATACAAGTGCCCAAAAGCAACTCAATCAAGGAAAACACCGTGTCCTAATGAAAATGCTAGCCCAAATAAGTCTATCTTCTCTCTCTGTAACAAACACACAAAGCGTGATAGTATTTAAACTGAAATGAATTCAGTGTAGCTTTCTGCCACCCTCTAAAATTCACAGAAGTGGAAGGAGAGGAGGAGCATGAATAAGTCACAGTGTAGGCTTTATGGCCATCGTCCTTATATACTATATTCGAATTAAAAGATTCACATTGTGTTTGAAATAAAAATGAATAAAGTGGCATCCTGCCAAAGAGAACCAGAAGCCATCCTTGTGTGGAACTGAAATAACTTGGCTCAAGTAGTACTTAATTTATTTTCAGAAAATGACAAGTTGTATAAATGTATCTTTAAAACAGAGAGGCAAAAACTTTAGAAAAATTTCTTTACGTAGTGGTTCATAAGGTTGACACAGTCATTGCCTGTATATAAACAGAACAAAACCTGATAAATGTTCCTCAAGGAGGGCTTCCAGCACTGTGTTCTTAAAAATCTTCAAAAGATGTGATCACATAGTTGAGCCACCACAGAAAAGACTCACAGTACCTTATTTTGGAATTGAATAAGAGTTTTAAAATCTATTGAAACGAAGTGTTGACATAAGGAAATATTTTGTAGAGCTTTCAGGTTTCTTTACCATTCACTTTATTTTACTTGGCTACTTTTAATTTTTTTTTCCCACTTCTCTTTGAAAATCCTGCATTGTCCGAGCCCTTTCGATTAAGCAGCTTGCCTGAATGAAAGCACTGTGATGAGGTGGCGGTGCATCAATAAACAGGGTGCCTCTCAAAGCAGGACAGAATGCTGAGAAATAGGGCTGATCAGCAGTAATTACTCTGACACTTCATGCAGTACAGGGAATTAACTCCTAGGACTTTGGGCCAAATGGAGAAGTAGTAGTTGATGTTCCACATTGTGAATGCCTCAGTGCCTGAACCCATTATGAGTTTAAATGGAGATGGGAATTCACTATATACAGGGCTTTTTTCTTTCCTTCCCCCCACCCCCAGCTAGGAATGTGAAGCAGAGTGCAGAAAATAGAAATAATTCGGGGTGCTGAGCAGGCTGCATTTCTGTTTTTTTGCCGAGGCCTTTGCATTCATTTTTCATTATATCACAAATAATTCAATAAAGGGATGGCCATAACAAGCATATTTGTGGGAATGCACTGATTGTGTTGAGGAAGACACCCCATATGCCAAGTTAAGGAAGTGGAATTGCTCTAAGGCAGACCTGCAGAAACTAAGGTACACAAAAACACATAGCAGGAGGGGAAATACAGCTAAAAAGGCAACTAGTTAGCAGCTGCCACTATGACCTTTAACTGCATCCATGGTAACTGGGCTAAAGATGGAGTTCCATTTTATTATTCTCACACCCACAATGTTAAGCCCATGAATCCCATTGCAATTTAATGGCTGAAATCAGAAGGCAGATCTGTGTTCATTGGACCAGTGCCGACATCCTCTTAGCTAATGAGTGCAATAAACATTTTCATGCCAGGAAACCAATGCAAGTGGAAATATTATGCCATGCAGAAATCTATCCCCCAAACACAAAGAAATGGTCAGTAAAGCCAGTCCTTTATGTTCATTTGCATATACTGTAATTTTTCAGGGTTTAGACAACTCGTCTTTAAGCAGGAAGATATTTAACTCATATATTCCTTAATACTGTGCCATGCAACAGCATTCAATTTATATTAAGAGTCGTGGGAAGAATTACATATTCCAGAGCTAATGACTATAGCTGCCTCCAATTATTTTCCTAAAGGAATGTTATGTTTTCAAAAACTATTTTTGCTTTCATGCACCTAAAATATATTTTATCCATTTGCAGGCTATGTTCAGTACCACCAGCTGAGCAAAAAACAGTAAACCAGCAAAGTCTTTCAACAAGAAAGAAGGCTTTGTTCTAACTTTTGTTGCTGTTGTAATGTGACTCAGAGAATTTTTCTTAAGCATCAGTGACAATAGTGTCATATCTTTGCCATGTGAGCTGAAAGCAAGACATATATCATCCTTATTTGGGCTGAAGAACCAGAGCAACAACGACAGCGGTTAAAAGGATCTGTGCTGGATGTGACTTTGAAATCTCTACCACTTCCACCTCTCAAATTCTGTGGTAACCTGTAAAATCAAAAATGAGAGGTTTGGAGTGGAGCTAAGAATTGATTTTTAAGCCTTTACCTGGGAAAAACAGAAACAATGAAGAGTAGCCATAATTATTTTCAAAAATCATAAATATAGCAATTTAGACACATTGAGTCATTTATCTGTCTTACCTCCCAGCCTCCTGTAAAGAAAGGACATCATTCTAATAACAAAACAGACCAGGGTGAAGAAGAGAGCTCTCAGTGCATAAATGTGCAGCTGGGAAATGAAGGTCACCAAAATCTCCTTGAACTCTTGGATAAACCCACCATATTTGCTTCAAAGTGGTGCAGTCAAAGACATAAAACTGCATTAGTACACTCATAAAGAGCGTTATATGAAACATCCCTGCCTCTCACAGTCAACTTCCTCCTCTATCTTAAAATACTCAGAATTTTATTTTTGTTAAAATGTTAGCATGGCATAAGGAGAGAGGGCTTAATGACTTCCCTTGACAAGAACTGCATGTATTTTTTTTTTTCTTATGGAATACTGCCAAATATCCTTTGTAATAAAAAGCTTGAACTATTTTGCTAACAGAAGTCGCTTGTTCTGGTAACTGTAAAGGTCAGACAGAAAATAATTTTGGTGTTTCTTATCTTTTAAAATAATGTCACTTTTTATCATTACAGTAACATTTTTGGACAACAAAGAAAAGAGAAAACAGTAGATGTGTTACCCCAGACCACCAGGTACACTATTTCTTAAAAGACATTAGGTTAAAAAAGCTGTTAGCCAATTATACCAAAGACTAGAAATGTCACAAAAGCCAATGAAATCTCCCTGGTAACATTCAGAAATAATATGCTTTGGATCATACGTTATATTAAATGACAACTGTCAATTTAAAAAAGAAGTCCTCCAAAATCTTTGATGTATGACAATTTAGAAGTTGAAACACACTGTTCTTACCATTTAATATCTTGGAGATAAAAAGCTTTTGACATGCTAACTAATGTGAAGGAATAAGTGCTTTTCTCATTTCCCTAACACAGTACTGGACTGCCCTAAGTAGCTTTTTGTGATAAATGTCATAAGAAGCAAGGTGGTATGTAACCATTTTAGTTAGTTAAGTATATGCACTTACATTACATAACAATAGAGACAGGTGAAATTTTTTCTAACCTAAATATTGTTCTTTGGTACTGGCAGTATTTATTTCAGTTAAAATGGGCATTTGAATAGGCACTGATTGTCAATATTATTTAATCTACTCTTCTATCTGGGGCTGTAGTGCAACATGATTCAGAGGAAGCTGTCAGTATCTGAATGTGCAGCCATTCCAGGATAAATGGTCTTCCAACTGCATGTTAGTTGCCTTTTTATTGTTGTTTGTTTGTTTTCCCCACCTAAAAATGGACATAATCTCTAGCTTCAGGCACCTGGATTAGTTGGCTCCCAGGCAGCTGAGGAAATCTCCCTGGGGCAGTGCTGGGTGGCAGTGCTGGGTAGGACACTTCAGCCAGGCTTTCAGAGCCATCGACCTTGCAGGATGCTTCCTCCTACCCCAGGAGTTCACCTCAGCCATTAATGCAGAGGCTCATATCTCTGTGCCTTCAACAGGGTCCCAATTGGAAGTTTCCCATTTTAAGAATAATCTGAAGTTGAATCCCATCAGGTGCAAACTCTTCTCCTGTCACTGAAGAAATGGAGCTCGGTAATGATGCTCAGATAAGCCTGACCCTGGATAAAACAGGGTGTTAAAGGATCTGAGCCATTGGTGCTCAAATAATACAAAAGAGATTCAGCAAAGACATTTAATGCATGAATTTTGAGTTGTCCAAATTAACACCCTGTAAAAGGGGAGATTAGGTAGCTAAATAAATAGGAAGCTTCTAGGTATGTTGGCAGACTTTAATGAATTGTGAGTGTGTGCTAATTGTTAGGCACAGCATGGATGCGGTTTTGTGGTCTGAAAAATACCATGCTGAAGGCCTACACTGCTTAGTGGTTGGCAGACTATGTTTGAAGGTGATTCAAAGACAAATCTGCACCCCCAGAAAAAGAAAAAGTGATAAGCAGTGTAGACCTTACCAACTGGCATCATTGGACTCTGGGGAAAAGATTAGTTCCTGAACCTCTTCTAATTACTGTTATAGACACAGACCAGGAACATTGCTGCATATTGCCTCAGATCACCTCCAGATATTTCTCAATTATTTTGCCGAAGAACAAATCACAAGTTAACCATACCTCAGCTGGGAAGCTTTATGAACAAAATCAGTAAATCTCTGTACTTATGTTGTACTCACCAGAAAAAAAAAATGAAATAGCAGATGAAAGGGTGGTAGCACAGTTGTGAAGAAGGTAATAAACATGACATTCTGGAAAATCTTTTTGACCCCCAAAACAAGAGCAAATGATAGAGAACACTCTTGTTGAAACTTTGGCTGCACAATACGTTTGAACATGGAAGTTGTGCTTTTGTGGACCATGGGGGCATTGGGACCTCATTCTGTACTGAGAGAGGAGGCCCCAGGTCATGGGCAGGGCAGGTACTATCTTTGTCTGGAGTTGATGGATGATGAAAAATGACATTACTAACTCAAGACTTTGTGTTGACAAATGTAGTATGGACCTAACTATGTATAACCCACTAGAACCCATAAAGTGCAGAAAATTAATATAAGTGGTTGTTGAAACCAAGCAAAAATGTATGAAAAACACAGGTATAATCAAGATGGCATTTTTAATTTTTGCCAAAGAAAATAATCTATTGTGGAGCTTTCAGAAAGTTGAAAAGAAACATTGCTCAGTATGATATTTAAAGTGCAGACTTAATAAATACTTCTGTTTTTGAATCTGATAAAATAAAATTATATGTTTGGGTATGTTTTATGGATAATTTGTTCTTTGGTAAGGGTTATATTTAATTTCAGGTAAATA